AAAAAAAACAAGTAAAAACAATTTAACCAATAAGTTCTGGCTCTGCAGCAAATTGCTATTATTAGCTGAAAAAAATAGTGACTCGACGGATTAGTTGAAAAAGCGCGATATGAAGGGCGCGGAAGTAAGCTTAATGAAGCAATCGCTTGGGAATTATTCACTGAACGGCAATGCACAATACCCAAGACGTTTCTGCCACTCATTCCGAACTACCATTTTCCTTCTCAAGCCATCATCGGGCTTTCTGCTGTGCCAGGAATCACGGATGCATTTTTCCAGAAATGAAAAGCTATTCCGCGTTGTCACATTTTTTGCAGAACGATGCTGATGTTTTTTCGGAGCCGTTATCCGCGAAATTCTCCTTTATTATCTAACAGCAGTACTGAAATGGTGTAGTGCATCCGCTATGGCTGTGCATGGCCAAAACGGTCTTCGTTGGTCACTTTATCCCCTTCTTGCTACTATCGCTCTTGTAAGTTCATTTCGGGTTTTTTTGGCTGTGAACATTTCAAAATTCTAATCGTTATATTGTAAACTCTGAAATAAATTCATTTTAACTTATTGATGTTGCTCCCTGAAAAAAACACCTTGCTACTGCACTTTTTTATGCGTTTTTGTAATCTGCATATATGCAAAAACACATATTGGCAAGAAGCTCTCTCTGTGTGTCTGTGTGTTCGCACTTTTTGTCACCTACTTTCAACTCAAGAACCAGAAAAGCTAGAAGCCTGGAACTTTGGGAGAATGTTCCCTGTCAAAATACAGCTTATTCAAATTCAGCCCTCAGATATGTATGGTTCTTACGTGCAAGCACGTGAAAGGTTTGGCGGGAAAATTGCCAACTCGGTGACCAGAAAAACTGGAAGGCTGAAATTTTAGGTGAATGTTCCCTGTTCACATGCAGTTTAAAGATTTCAAATTCAGCTTCCCAGGTACTTGGGGTACCCATGTACGGGCATGTGAAAATTTCGGCGGGAGAATTGCTAACTCGGAAACCAGAAAAGCTAGAGAATTGGAAATGTAGGGGAATGTTCCATGTCCAAATATAACTTAAATATTTCAAGTTCAGCCTCCAGGTATGGATGGTTCTCACGTGTGGACACTCAAAAGTTTTGGCGGTAAAATCGCTCGCTGAACAGCTAAGTTACTTCCAAAGAACGACCGTTAAATGGAAATTGTTCATTTACTTTGTGCAAAATTTGCGGTAATTTACGCTAGTAAGCGCAAAAAGCAGGTGTAAAGCAACAACCATTCATGCAGTTAATGACTATAGGACTTCAAGTCTTGTGCAGAAACATATGATCGTACCGGCAAGCCTGGTGCGTTCCAACTTGAGTTACTTTCAGAATAAGTAGACGGGCTAGGGGCTGGCTTTTTTGCTTTGACAGGAATGACAATAAGTAATTCGGAGCTCAATAATATCTGTTTGAAATAATTTTTCTTTATTCACAATCGATTTTCTTATTGCAATTTTCTTGCTCCCTTTTGGGACTTTTCCAGTGCCTTTTACAACTTCATATTTTTTAGTGTGAATTTTTTCTTGGAGTCAGTCACCTGCTGTTCTGCTTGCCGTTCTATCCCTTACTCATACCGATTACTTCTGCTGTTTTCGGCTTGATCGCGGCTTTCCATGCACTTTTTCTTCGTTCTCCTAACAGGTTCCTTCTCATTCACTAATTAATTTAAATTTATTTGTGTTGGCAGTACAGTCATTCGTGTATTGTTGATCGGCCCGGTTCGTATAACACTGCAGGCACTAATTCAGTTTGGAGAATAATTCATGCAGGTACTCGCATAGTTCCTAGAATTCAGTTTTTTGCAAATACACAAGAAAAACAAACTGAAAAGATACATCAAAAAAACTGAACTTATGAAACACTCGTGAAAAACACCTGCTCATTAGAGAGCGCGTAAAAATTGGCAACAGTGTCCTACCAGACAAATTTTTTGGCTTAGC